AAATGACGTCATACGAAAAATGCAAGGAACGTCTTCAAAATCTTCTCAAATGTGTAAATTACTGCTCAATAACGTCAGACGGTTGGACATCAAGGGCCAATGTTAATTATTTAACCGTTACTTGCCATTTTATATTAAAGGACAAGCTAAGATCAGCGGTTTTATCCACTTGCCCATTGATTAATGACACCAATCATTCGGGTCAAAATATTGCAGATTCAATTAACAAGGTACTTGATGAGTGGAACATTCGGGAGAAGGTAGTAGCCGTTGTTACTGATAACGCTCAGAGCATGAAAAAGGCTTGTACGATTTTGCTGAAATTCAATTTGCCATGTTTTGCTCATACCCTAAACTTAGTTATGCAAGACGTTTTAAAGCATTATTCCCTGAAGGACATTATTATTAAATGCAAAAAATTGGTTGGTTTTTTTAAAAGTAGCTCAATAGCGTATGCTAAATTCCGATCCGCGCAGCTTAGAAACCCTCCCCTGTCTTTAATCCAGGAAGTAGCAACGCGGTGGAATAGCGCTTACAAAATGATAAATAGAATTTTACTAACGAAAGATTCTATTTCAACGGTTCTTCTAAGTACCCGGAAATCACCGGAACCGCTTAACACTGAGGAAATTGAGTTTTTGGAAGACATTGAAGATTTATTTAGCCAAGTGGACGATGCCACGAAAAAAATATCTGCTAACGATTCTGTGACAATTTCGTTAATATTGCCTTTAACGTGTGGTCTTCTGAAAAATATAATGGAGTCTTGTCAAAATATGAAAACAGTGGAGGGCACTTTTATAGGAGAATATTTGCTGGAGCGTCTTGTTCACCGATTAAAATCATATGAGGAAATGCCATTATTAAAAAAAGCTACTCTTTTAGATCCGCGCTTTAAAAAAGAAGGCTTCAAATCCTTATCGATCGCTGATGAAGCAGCAGCAGAGCTTAAACGTGAAGTGGAACTAATCGAAAAAGGAACACTTGAGGTATCTTCTAGCAATTTGTCATCGCCTCAGTCACCATCTCTCTTAGGAAAACGTGATATATTCGGATTCCTTAAAAGTGCAGTACTTAAAAAATCCATTCAAGTTGAGGAAGGGCACATCTTAGAACAATATTTCAGGCAAATAAATATTTCTACAGCGAAGAATCCAATACAATATTGGGAGGTAATATCTGCCCATATTTTTGTATTAATAATTTATATTGTGTGTTTGCTCTTTTTGTAGATGTCGGAGTCAAAATATAAAACTTTGAAATGCTGCGCTAGGAAATATTTACATATCCCAGCAACCTCAACTGAATCTGAGCGAATGTTCAGCAAAGCGGGTTACATTGCTTCAGATCGAAGATCTGCTCTAAAGCCCAGAAATATTAACATGTTTATTTTTTTAAACAAGAACCAATGGGTCCTTGGTAATTAAAAATTTGACTTTTATGTTTATTTAAATTTACATACAGACTGATTAAAAAAAAACAAACAATACTATTAAAGGCTTTATTTATTATTTACTTGGAATAGAATTGATAAAAACTTTTCTTCTAATGTCAAATAACGACTAGTCGATAATATCGAAACAGTCGACTGAAATGCTGTCAAACAGTCGACTGACTACACTATCGATAGTTTTGCAGCTCTATTAAATATAACATTTAGAAAACAAAATAAAATACAAATTATACAACGGAAATAAAATTTATTAACAAAAAATACATATAAATCATTTATAAAGTCGCAGGCAAAAATTGTTTTAAACAAAAATCGCCGCGATTTTACAATTTTTTCCGTTATTTTTCAAGATCCCTTTATTTGCGCCAACTTTGGCTATTTTTCCCGTAATCAGGACCCAAAAAGACGTCAATATGGAAAGTTTGAAAAAAATTGGGGGTAGGAGCTAAACGGAAGTTTATCCGAAGCTTAGAATTGGTCAAGATTCTTTTCCCTTTAGGGACAGAGGAAGTTGCCTCCTCAACGAAAATCAAAATTTGGCCAACGCCAGCTCAACCGTTAGTGACTATTTCATAGAGTAAGAAGGGAGATTCCCTAAACTGTTGAATTGCTGAATTGTTGAATTTTGGTCAGCTGTTAATCAGCTGTTACATACAAAGTCAACTTTCAGAAATTTCAGCAATTTAACAGCCTCGGGGCTGATGAAAATTATAATAATAATAAATTAAATTTTACAGGCTTTAAGTTCCTTGAAATTTTTCAACAAATAACAGCTGTTTGAAAATTCAACAGGAACCATTTTGGGTCGTTCCCTTAATTGCTGAAATTTTTTGTTGAATTTTCAACAATTCAGCAATTCAACAGTTTAGGGAATCCCCCTAGAAACTATACAGAGACATTTGCTCTGCCCAAAGCTCTGCTGAGAACATCGTTTTCTCACCGCGTCCAACATGTGCGAAGCAACAGCAATAGCGGTAAGAGTCCACATACAAAAGCATAACAGTAAGTCTGAGCGGTACAGATATGTATTATTCTATCAGCTGCTTGGAGAAATGTTAGCCGGCACTGGAGTAACCGGCCCCTAATTGCTTACATTTTCTAAATTAAATTTTTTAAAAATTAGCAATTGAACAGATTAGGAGGGGGATTCCCTAAACTGTTGAATTGCTGAATTGTTGAATTTTGGTCAGCTGTTAATCAGCTGTTCCATACAAAGTCAACTTTCAGAAATTTCAGCAATTCAACAGCCTGGGGGCTGTTTAAAATGTTGTTGAATTTTATAAGCCAGAGTTGTCACCTTTTTTTAAAAGTTGTGGCAACTCTGTAACATTTTAGTATCACCAGTACTCATTATTTATTTTAAAATCAACTTAGAAAGCATATTTGTGGTTCTTTTTACCGTGGTAACAGTTTTAGACAGTAACTAGCAATAATAAATCAAATTTTACATGCTTTACGTTCCGTGAAACTTTTCAACAAATAACAGCTGTTTGAAAATTCAACAAGAACCATTTTGGGTCGTTCCCTTAATTTATTTTTTTTAAATTAAAATGTTATATAAAAAAATAAAAATTTTTTTATTTTTTTTTTTTAAATTTTTTTTCTGAAAGTTTTTTAAAGTTGAATTTTCAACAATTCAGCAATTCAACAGCCTAGGGGCTGCTGAAAATTTTGTTGATTGCTGAAAAGCCAGGGAGTTCGTCACCTTTTTTTAAAGTCGTGGAGGGAACTCTGTGTAACGTTTTAGTATCACCAATACGCATTATTTATTTTAAAATCAACTTAGAAAGCATATTAGTGGTTCTTTTTACCTTGGTAACACTTTTAGACAGTAACTAGCAATAATAAATCAAATTTTACGTGCTTTAAGTTTCGGTGACAATTTTTCAACAAATAACAGCTGTTTGAAAATTCAACAGGAACCATTTTGGGTCGTTCCCTTAATTGCTGAAATTTTTTGTTGAATTTTCAGCAATTCAGCAATTCAACAGTTTAGGGAATCCCCCTTTTATTATTTCTTGCGATGGTCTTTTACAGCATTATGGAATAATTTTTAAAAACAGAAGATTTTTAATCTATTTTTTCTAGCTATTTTTTCTCAACCAAAGTGGGCAGCACTGACTCCGAACAGCTGTTGTTTTTGGCAGATGTTTTTTTGTTTTGCGAATTAGCGGCACTAGATAACGATTTCAGCAGCAGATAAGCTTTCAAGTGACCTCAAATAAGTACGTTTTTTTGTGGCCAGTGCATGTGCAACTAATCAGTAGATAAACCTTGCAAAAACAGTGAAGTTGCTGCAGACGATTCGCAGGATGAGCCAAGGAAACTCGGAGGTGCCTCTTTCGGGTGAATAATTCCAATGATTGCAATGGGTTTACAATAAATTTCCGTGAATATCTCATACTAGCACTTCGCCTCAAGTACCATGAGCGCAAGGACGCCTTTCTGGAGGACGACATCAAGGTGAAGAATCCCTTCTGCGTGTTTCGCGACTGGCTGGAGTTGGCCCTGAAAACGCCAGAGATCCTGGAGCCCAATGCCGCCGCTCTGGCCACCGTGAGCTCCGAGGGAAAGCCCTCCAATCGCTATGTGCTGGTCAAGGAAGCCACCGCCGAGGGATTCACCTTCTTCACCAACTACGGAAGCCGCAAGGCGGACGAGATCAAGTCGAATCCCAATGTGGCCATATCCTTCTACTGGCTGCCCTTGCGGCGGAGTGTCCGCATCGAGGGCGTGGCCGAGAAGATCTCGCCGGAGGACTCCCTTAGGTACTTCCACCAGCGACCTAGGGCCAGTCAAATTGGAGCCGCTGCCAGCCCCCAAAGCCAGCGGATTCCATCCCGAAGCTACTTGGACGAGGTGGAGGCCGGAATCAAGGGGCAACTGGGTCCCGATGGAGAGGTTCCACTCCCAAACTGGGGTGGCTATCTGGTGCGTCCCGACCTCATTGAATTCTGGCAGGGCCAGACCGACCGCCTCCACGATCGCATCCGCTTCAGACGAGGTGCTGGAGTGGAGTCGGAGGTGGACGGGAAGCTGGTCCACAAAGGAGAGGATGGTTGGGTCTACGAGCGGCTGGCTCCCTAAGCACAGGGATCTGGAGTTCAGCAACAGATGCATTCAGAATGTCTTCCAAAGGTAGTTAATATGTGCAGGATATTATAAACTGTTAAAGTTTGTTTGCCAATAAATATAAAACCATAAACTTTTGCTGGCTATATGAATTTGAATTCAATAATGTACTTGTATTTAGTCCCTCTTGTCTCATATAAGAAGGTCCCTAAAAAATTTTGAAGATTGTGTCTAGGCCACTCTATAAAAATAGCTTAGGCTAATGGTATTATGCAGCACTTTGAAAGATACATTTTTGTGAGAATGGCTTTGAATAATGAACATGTTTAAATTCAAGAATATTATATGCGTATTGGGCATTTCAAAGATTTTAATGAAATTGTTTCTGCTTGAAAAAAGTTAAACTAGTAGGAAATGAATTTTTAACTCAATCCCGAACACATTATAAATTAAAAGCTACATATGTAAGCACATTTCAAATTACTATGTCGTCCGTTTTGGTACAAAAGGTTTGGGGCACGCTGTGGACCGCGGGATCGATGTGCCGCTTTCGGCAGCACGTCTGCCATGTTTCCCACCAGGTCAACAATGTAGCCAGCGAGGAGCAGCGGATTTACGACGAGCCGTACGTCATCTTCCAGAACTGGCTGATGGCCGCCCAAAGAGAGGCGCCTCAGGTGCGACCGCGTCTCGCCTGTATGGCCACTGTGGATAAATCCGGGGAACCCGTGACCCGTTTGACCAGCATTGAGGAGGTAAGCGCCAACGGAATCACCTTCTTCACGACCCTGGGCAGCCGGCAGGCGGGCGAGATTAGCGCCAATCCGCACGTTTCGCTGCACTTCAACTGGGCGCCACTCATGCGCAGTGTCCGGATAGCAGGATCCGCCCACCAGCTGACGAAGGAGCAGGCTCTGGATCAGTTCCGAAGATACCCACGGCACATCCAGATGTGCATCACCCACGGGCCACGATATGCGGCGGCCGACTGGGAGTCCCGGTCTGGATTTTTTGCACAGGTCGTACAGCGCTTGAACACGTGGCTGGGCAAGAAGCCGGAGGAGATCCAAATGCCACCGAACTGGGGAGGATATCTACTGACACCAAGCCTTTTCGAATTCGGGATGCTTAGCGGTCAAAAGGCCGGAAGGACTCGGGTGCGATTCCGTCGCTGTCTCGAAATTCCAAGGGTAAGGCCCAAAGTCGTGAGCATTACTTCTCATTAAGCAGGATCTTAAGATAAGTTTAACCTAATAAATAATAAAAAAGCTTTAGAGACAACTTATACATAGAATTTATCAAAACTGTGGTCCGTTTGTATGTCCGTCTGTCCGTCTGTCCGTCCGTATGAACGCTGAGATCTCTGAAACTATGAAAACTAGAAAGTATGTATGTATATAAAAGTTTAAGTTAAGTTTCTCAGTTTAAATTTTATTTTATTTGATAAGTCATTTTTCTCACAATTAATATATGTAGCCTAACTACCTCTTTCCTTACTCAAAATTATATGACATTAATATCTCAATTTCACTTAAATACAATTTTCTTAATTATTTTGTTTTTCCAGGGAACAAGAGTTGGCAACATTCAAGCTGAGAGGCAGGATTGGGTCTATGATTCGTGTGAGGAAAATTAGTTTGGGATTTCCTTACGATCTGATTCGGGTGCAATTCTCTCGAAATTATTACCCTGTAGTCCCCTAATCATATTCATCGCTTTCCGTTAAGTGTGTATTTCCATTAATCACTAAATTTTAAGTCAATTAAATTTAATTGTAAAATCGCTATTTATTTTTAATGTATGAAAATATAGGAATCATACAAATGGAAAGAAACTTTTTTTAGTTTCAGGAAATTTTTAAAAAAGTTTTTCAGAAATTACTCTTTTACCAAAAAACCTTTGAAATCATTGCGACAATAGTGTCTAGAAGCACAACAAAATAAATGCCAATTAAAAATGTCTGCAGACTTAAAGCTTTATCAAACGTTTTATTTATTGGTAATAGAAATAATTATTTGAAAAAGGTATGGGAAATGATTATAATCAATTGCTCTAGGTAGATATTAAATTAAACTTTCGCTGTAATAATAACACCAGTTTAAAAAAAATCGATGAAATATACCATGAATGAAACCTTTTTTTTCCGGAAGGTACGCCTACCGATTAAGAAAATGACACTTAAATTTTTTTTATGGATAAAATTTTTTAAAGTGTAAAAAACGTTTTTGACATTTTTTAATTTCTAACTTGAGTTGTGGTTAACCGATTTGAACCATAAGTGACCATTTTACAGGTAATAGAATGCCCTCCAACTTTCTTATACATTGCATTGAGTTCCATCATTAGTTTAGAAGCTACATTTCGTCAAAGTTGAAAAAGTTAGAAAATGCAAAATGCTGGCTTCGTTAAAAATACACGCCTAAAAACCGAAATTATTTTTATAACTTCTACTGGTAGAAGGTGCTTTGACAAAAAAACAAGCTATTGATTATTACAATCCACCAGCAAATTATTTTGATATGCATTTTTGAAGCTTGCGACAACGGTGTTTTTTGGCCGTTTACAGCTGTTAACGACACAACAGGGCTCTAACAGAGCTGTAATACCCGTTTTTCCCAACGTAAAAATCGATATAAAATCGAACTATTGATAGATTTTTTTTTTGATGGTCTTGTTAGTTGATTTAAAGATGTATCTTTAAGTATAAGTCATAAGAATAATTTCGGTTTTTAGGAGTGTATTTTTAACGATGCCATTTATGCCAGCATTTTTGCATTTTTTCACTTTTACAACTTTGACGAAGTGTAGATTCTAAACTAATGAATGGAACTCAATGCAGTGTATAAGGAAGTTAAAGAGCATTCTATTACCTGTAAAATTAGTTATTTATGGTTGAAATCGGTTAGCCACAACTCAAGTTAGAAATTGAAAAGGGGTCAAAAACGTTTTTTACATTAAAAAAAATTTATCCATAAAAAAAATTTAAGTGCCATTTTCTGAATTAGGAAGACGTACCTTACCGGAAAACAAAGGTTTCATTCATGGTATATTTCATCGATTTTTTTGTAAACTGGTGTAATAGCGGAATTACCAAACCGATTTTTAAAGAGTTGATCAGTGTTATTAAAAACCAAACCTCAATAACAATTTTTCGGTTACTAAATAAGTTCTTCTAAACTCTTTTTGTTCTTTAATTTTAAAGATAAAAAATTATTAAGTAAAAAATATTCAAAAAAACCTAAAAATCGTTTCTATTAAATTTTTATATGTTTATATCAGCTATTTAAAAATTTAAACCCCATTAATAAAACTTAGTATGGGTGGCATTTAATAAAAGCTTGAAGCCTGCTTTACAATATCAAAATCCAAAATCCATCCTAAAGATAAACACTATAATTGAGTGTTTATTATATAACCACATATTTTAACAAGTGGCTTAAACAAGAAAAGTGCATCAAAACCCGTTTAGTTTAAGCAACGTCATCTCTTAAATTACGTGTAACCAGTAAAGGAGATGAAAAACAGTATTTTGTTAACTCGTCATTAAATCAATACAGAGAAAATTCAATAATTAACAGAGAGCAGTCCATTAATATTGTCCCCTTTTCGGAGAGATCAAAGGTGTTAACGGGATGGAAAAGTGAATTAATTTCAGTTCGAGCTGCAAATGAATTTACCGTCAGGGAGCTTATGTCATTAACGCATCGTTGCCAAATTGGATTTAAATAAAAGCGTTAGTTCTTTCAGGTCGGCCTCAATCGCATTTAAAATGCATTAAAAGCACTGCTCGCAGCCGCCTAATTGGATGTCCTTGGGTCCTGGAAAATGCCCAATGCACGTGAGTGTGTGTGGGCACGTAAAAATTTAATAAAATAAATAGGCGAGTGCAGTCAAGCGCAAAGAGTAATGCCCGCCGGGAAATGTGGGATGGATGGATATGGTACACAAGGATGTTGGGAGGAGGGGAGGAAAGGGGCCAAGCGGCAATGACAGCAGACAACAAATAGTGAAAGCCAAAGCGCAAGGCCGGAAAAGCACACACCCTCCCTGCCATCACACCACCCACATTTTCCGCCCACTCTACAAATTTGCCTTTGCACTCCTTTGTAATTGTAGCCATCGCTCTGTCAGTCGTTCGCTTCCTTCCTCGGTTCATTTTTTGGCTTTCCTGTTTACTTTGTCCGCGTCTGTACTTTGTCTTATCCTTCGCCTCTCCGGCGTTTTGTTTTGCTCGTCCTGTTTCGTCCTTTTTCGGCTTTTCTCTCACGGAGGGTGTGTGTTTAGCTCACTCTCTTTCCGTGCATCTCTCTGCGGCTCTCTCGCGGAAAATGCGGAGAGCACGAAAACTTGTTGGCAAGGATAATGAATATTTCTTATTTTCGTTGCGTGCCAGCTCAGTTAGGTAGGGATGTCAGGGAGTGCAAAAAAAACAAGAGAGAACGTTATAGTCGGGTGCCCCGACTATCAGATACCCGTTACTCAGGTAAAGGGAGTGCGAGGGAGATGGAGATAGAGATAGAAAACGTTGATCACGCATAACTTTTTAACGAATGGTCCGATTTGGAAAATTTCTTCTACATTTCGATAGGTATTGATAAACACAATAAAACTGCATTTTTACTTTTCCAAAATATTAAAATTTTTAAAATCGTATATAAGCGATTGTGGGTGTTAGAGGGGGCGTGGCACCATTTTGAAACAAACTTGCGCTGCGTAGGAACTCCTAAAATCTGCATGCAAAATGCCAATCTTCTAGCTTTTATAGTTTCTGAGATCTCAGCGTTCATACAGACAGACAGACGGACAGACGGACAGACGGACAGACGGACAGACAGACGGACGGACAGACAGACGGACAGACGGACATGGCTAGATCGACTCGGCTAGTGATCCTGATCAAGAATATATATACTTTATGGGGTCGGAAACGCTTCCTTCTCCCTGTTACATACTTTTGCACGAATACAATATACCCTTTTACTCTACGAGTAACGGGTATAAATATTAAAAGCTGTGTAGAAAAGTTATTTTTTTTAAATTGTGTTATCTAAAAAAATTAATTTATAACAAATTTTATTTATGTATAATTATTAATTTTAAAATAATATGTGTTAACAATTCAAAAATTTAATTTTTATTAATTAAATATGATTTTATTAATCACAAATTTTGTTATAATAAAATTAATTATTTTATGCCCCACTATCTAAACAAAATCTTGGGCAAATAAATATTGATAATTTTTTTTCGTCATTAATGTGTTGCAAAATACTTACATATATTAAAGTCTTGTAAACCTAAATAAATGGTGTTTACAGTTCGGAACATATTTAACGATTATATTGAGATTATGTCTGTATTATCCTGGATCTTTCTTCGTCACCTGGCAACCCTGCTCGGCAGCCTGCCGCCTTCTCTTTGGCTTTGGGCCAGGCCCACTCCGCTTTGGGCCACGGCAGCTGACAGCGAACAGTGAGGGTGCAACATTCAAGCTGAGAGGCAGGATTGGGTCTATGATTCGTGTGAGGAAAATTAGTTTGGGATTTCCTTACGATCTGATTCGGGTGCAATTCTCTCGAAATTATTACCCTGTAGTCCCCTAATCATATTCATCGCTTTCCGTTAAGTGTGTATTTCCATTAATCACTAAATTTTAAGTCAATTAAATTTAATTGTAAAATCGCTATTTATTTTTAATGTATGAAAATATAGGAATCATACAAATGGAAAGAAACTTTTTTTAGTTTCAGGAAATTTTTAAAAAGTTTTTCAGAAATTACTCTTTTACCAAAAAACCTTTGAAATCATTGCGACAATAGTGTCTAGAAGCACAACAAAATAAATGCCAATTAAAAGATATCTGCAGACTTAAAGCTTTATCAAACGTTTTATTTATTGGTAATATAAAAATTATTTGTAAAAGGTATGGGAAATGATTATAATCAATTGCTCTAGGTAGATATTAAATTAAACTTTCGCTGTAATAATAACACCAGTTTACAAAAAAAAATCGATGAAATATACCATGAATGAAACCTTTGTTTTCCGGTAAGGTACGTCTACCTGATTAAGAAAATGACACTTAAAATTTTTTTTATGGATAAAATTTTTTTTAAAGTGTAAAAAACGTTTTTGACATTTTTTTAATTTCTAACTTGAGTTGTGGTTAACCGATTTGAACCATAAGTGACTCATTTTACAGGTAATAGAATGCCCTCCAACTTTCTTATACATTGCATTGAGTTCCATTCATTAGTTTAGAAGCTACATTTCGTCAAAGTTGAAAAAGTTAGAAAAAATGCAAAAATGCTGGCATAAATGGCTTCGTTAAAAATACACGCCTAAAAACCGAAATTATTTTTATAACTTCTACTGGTAGAAGGTGCTTTGACAAAAAAAACAAGCTATTGATTATTACAATCCACCAGCAAATTATTTTGATATGCATTTTTGAAGCTTGCGACAACGGTGTTTTTTGGCCGTTTACAGCTGTTAACTGACACAACAGGGCTCTAACAGAGCTGTAATACCCGTTTTTCCCAACGTAAAAAATCGATATAAAATCGAACTATTGATTGATTTTTTTTTTGATGGTCTTGTTAGTTGACTGAAAGATGTATCTTTAAGTATAAGTCATAAAACTAATTTCGGTTTTTAGGCGTGTATTTTTAACGATGCCATTTATGCCAGCATTTTTGCATTTTTTCTCACTTTTACAACTTTGACGAAGTGTAGATTCTAAACTAATGAATGGAACTCAATGCAGTGTATAAGGAAGTTAAAGAGCATTCTATTACCTGTAAAATTAGTTATTTATGGTTGAAATCGGTTAGCCACAACTCAAGTTAGAAATTGAAAAGGGGTCAAAAACGTTTTTTACACTTAAAAAAAAATTTATCCATAAAAAAAAATTTAAGTGCCATTTTCTGAATTAGGAAGACGTACCTTACCGGAAAACAAAGGTTTCATGCATGGTATATTTCATCGATTTTTTTTTGTAAACTGGTGTAATAGCGGAATTACCAAACCGATTTTTAAAGAGTTGATCAGTGTTATTAAAAACCAAACCTCAATAACAATTTTTCGGTTACTAAATAAGTTCTTCTAAACTCTTTTTGTTCTTTAATTTTAAAGATAAAAAATTATTAAGTAAAAAATATTCAAAAAAACCTAAAAAATCGTTTCTATTAAATTTTTATATGTTTATATCAGCTATTTAAAAATTTAAACCCCATTAATAAAACTTAGTATGGGTGGCATTTAATAAAAAGCTTGAAGCCTGCTTTACAATATCAAAATCCAAAATCCATCCTAAAGATAAACACTATAATTGAGTGTTTATTATATAACCACATATTTTAACAAGTGGCTTAAACAAGAAAAGTGCATCAAAACCCGTTTAGTTTAAGCAACGTCATCTCTTAAATTACGTGTAACCAGTAAAGGAGATGAAAAACAGTATTTTGTTAACTCGTCATTAAATCAATACAGAGAAAATTCAATAATTAACAGAGAGCAGTCCATTAATATTGTCCCCTTTTCGGAGAGATCAAAGGTGTTAACGGGATGGAAAAGTGAATTAATTTCAGTCGAGCTGCAAATGAATTTACCGTCAGGGAGCTTATGTCATTAACGCATCGTTGCCAAATTGGATTTAAATAAAAGCGTTAGTTCTTTCAGGTCGGCCTCAATCGCATTTAAAATGCATTAAAAGCACTGCTCGCAGCCGCCTAATTGGATGTCCTTGGGTCCTGGAAAATGCCCAATGCACGTGAGTGTGTGTGGGCACGTAAAAATTTAATAAAATAAATAGGCGAGTGCAGTCAAGCGCAAAGAGTAATGCCCGCCGGGAAATGTGGGATGGATGGATATGGTACACAAGGATGTGGAGAGGAGGGGAGGAAAGGGGCCAAGCGGCAATGACAGCAGACAACAAATAGTGAAAGCCAAAGCGCAAGGCCGGAAAAGCACACGCCCTCCCTGCCATCACACCACCCACATTTTCCGCCCACTCTACAAATTTGCCTTTGCACTCCTTTGTAATTGTAGCCATCGCTCTGTCAGTCGTTCACTTCCTTCCTCGGTTCATTTTTTGGCTTTCCTGTTTACTTTGTCCGCGTCTGTACTTTTTCTTATCCTTCGCCTCTCCGGCGTTTTGTTTTGCTCGTCCTGTTTCGTCCTTTTTCGGCTTTTCTCTCATAGAGGGTGTGTGTTTAGCCCACCCCTTTCCCTGCATCTCTCTGCGGCTCTCTCGCGGAAAATGCGGAGAGCACGAAAACTTGTTGGCAAGGATAATGAATATTTCTTATTTTCGTTGCGTGCCAGCTCAGTTAGGTAGGGAGGTGGGGTCAGGGAGTGCAAGGGAAAAAAATATTAAAAGCTGTGTAGAAAAGTATTTTTTTTAAATTGTGTTATCTAAAAAAATTAATTTATAACAAATTTTTTTTATGTATAATTATTAATTTTAAAATAATATGTGTTAACAATTCAAAAATTTAATTTTTATTAATTAAATATGATTTTATTAATCACAAATTTTGTTATAATAAAAATTTAACTAAAATTAAAAAAATCTTAATTATTTTATGCCCCACTATCTAAACAAAATCTTGGGCAAATAAATATTGATAATTTTTTTTCGTCATTAATGTGTTAAAATCGTATGTTGCAAAATACTTACATATATTAAAGTCTTATAAACCTAAATAAATGGTGTTTATAGTTCGGAACATATTTAACGATTATATTGAGATTATGTCTGTATTATCCTGGATCTTTCTTCGCCACCTGGCAACCCTGCTCGCCAGCCTGCCGCCTTCTCTTTGGCTTTGGGCCAGGCCCACTCCGCTTTGGGCCACGCAGCTGACAGCAAACAGTGAGGGTTGCGGTCTCGTTCAGTTCGCCGCGCGGCTCCGGCAGTTTCAGTTTCTGATTCAGATTCAGATTCAGACCCAGTCTCAGTTCCGAACAAACTTCGGCGGGGAACAGAAGGAGCAGAGCGGAGCAGTGGAGCCCGACCAGAAAATAAAAATAGACAAAATACTGAAACAATAACTCGAGGCGGCAAGCTAGTGTAGAATTTTTTACATATACTTTTACGGGGTAGCGGAAGCAGGAAGTGGCGGAATAATTAAGGACAAAAACGCAATTTCAATTATCGTTAGTGTAATCTTGAATGTGAATTTAAATGTGAACTGTGAGTGCTTGGTGTACGGTGTGCGGCAGTTTTTGCCAGACAATTTGTTTCTCTGAATGTGGTGTACTTTTTCCCATTGCAAATTAGTTAGTGTCGCTTAATCAAATATATATATACATATATAGTTAATTGAATGGTATATACATGTGTTTATGTGCAAGTATTTTTGCTAAATTTATTGGATTAGTATTGAATTTATACGTTTTGGATGCTCGTGCAATTATTGTAATTTGAATAAAGGAACTTTGAGCGCTTTCAAACAACAAAGGACTAGAAATCAGAGTCCTTTTTCCCCAAAAAGTGTGCGAGCGTGTGGCCATTTGCCTTTGTCCAGCGAATCAGGGGGTGTGTCCAAGGGGAGTCGGGGAGTCTTTTTACATAAGCAGGGCGAGCTGCAAATGGGACGGCCACCTGCGGCTACACGGCGGCTACTCAACGCTGGGATCCCTCGCTTTGTTCGACGCTGAGTGCTGCGTGTCCTTGCAACGTGACAGCCCGATTGTGTGTAAGGATATGCAAAGAAGTCCCTCATCCCGACAATGGCCCACTTAAAACTGGACACCCTGCACGTGCAGCGAAGCCCCCGCAGCTCCCGCAGGAGCAGTCCGAGCAGCGGAAGGAGCAGCGCCTGCAGTTCCGGGAGCATCTCCCCGGTGCCCATCATCCCGATCATCGCCATTAGCCACGATGGCGACGAGTCCGAGTCCGAGTCGGAAATCGAAACGGAGCCGGCGCGCCTCTTTCAGCGCCGCATGTCCACCAAGTGCACCAACAACCTGGTGGGTACTAAACACTTGCACTAGTGCACTTGTAAATTTTTCTGAATTTAATATAATATGAATATAATATAAAGGAACAAGGAAAATAAATTATCCCAATGCCATTTGGATGCAGAATTTTAATGACGTGCAGAGTTCTGGTTAATATTTTGCTTACTGTTTTTATGTTAATGCTCAAAATTGATTCGAACAAGAGTACATACTTTTGATATTATATGGAAAATGTACTTATATTATATTCACTTAGCAAGAAAACGAATTCCGATAACATATAAAATCTTGTGATAAATATGTATCCCAAAATAATAAATTTAACTTAAAAAATGATCAAATTTTAAAAGGATTTTTAGAATAACCGAATAAATATTCGGTTGAAAATAATTTTTAACTAAGAGCCAAACAATAAGCAATTTTATAAAGGTGAAGTATTGCATCGATGACCATTAAGGCGTAACTATGATGAAGAGTACTTTGGGATGACGATACAAAGCGGATGTGATTCCGTTTTTTTCCGTGTGCCAAGAGTCCTCCGGCTTTGTCACAGGACCTTCCATAGCAGTGCAGCGGAGCGTCCTCGCTAAAGTTTCTGGAGCGGAAGTTGCATGCAAACGGGCAAACAGCAGCGGGGTGGGGTGCCCCCTCCATATGCGAGTTGCGTGTGTCGAGAGTTTATGTTTCAAGTACCTTAGTGCGCTGCACCACTGCCAAAGGTCAGAGGCGCACTTCAAGAAGTCGCTAAAATATTTTAGTGTCGCTGCTGCATAGGTCAGGGGTCAGAGCAGCCCCCATTTGGTGATTGCTTCGGCTTAGCCGGGCGCCCGTTTCAATCATCATTTCGGTGCATTATTAAAATGTAATCCGACGCTGTCCATGTGGTCCGAAATTAAATAAAATTGTATCGACTTGCGACTCGCGGCGGAGCAAAAAAGGAAGGCCGAGCGGACCGTTCATGTATTTTAATTAAACGTTGCCATAGTTGCCCGGCGGCCAGGTTTCGCGAATAAAAGAATCAAAATGGCGGAATAACGAAAGAAAGGCAAGCCCCAAAAACTCCGCGAAGCCCGAGAAAAGCTTCAATTAAGTTCTTTACGGTTTTGGTGTCACTTTGAAGCGTCCAAGGCTCGACCCTCCTTGCTGCGTACACCGCGTCGTATGAATAATATTCCCGGGCCAAAGTTGATGCCCGGGTTGCTGGCCATTTGATGTTAATTATACGCATCGTTGCACTGACCCTTCCGCCCAACTTTGGCCTTTGGGTCCCCATTGTATTTTTATCCAGCTGCTGATGACCCCATCCCCTCGAATTTCGGCTACCGTCTCACCCTCGATCGTCCAAGTGCAATTTGGGCTTTAAGCGAAGGCATTTGTTATTTGTGATTTATGGCATTCAAGGGCCGAGGAAAACACATTTGCCTGATTGTGACAGACAAGCAACATTCAAGTGCTCCCATGTTGAGAGGGGCGTGGCCCCATAAACAGCCATGTGGGCTGTAGGTTGGTGTGGGGTTTACACATGTCAAACCGCAAAACAATAAGCGAACGCTAAACAAAAGCAGCTTAGTGCAGGGCTGGATGGCAGCGTTTTGGTTAGCGTGCTGCCAATGCTGAAGGCGGCGACAATAAGACAATAGAATGAGCCTCAACAGTTGAAACACAGTCCGGGACAAGCGTCTAGGAACAGGGACTTGACTAAGGACTTTTTAATATTTGCAACGAGTTAGTAATGTTATTTTACAATCACGCTCTCGAGTTACAACTTACTAGGACACCTTTACACAGTGACAAATGAATCTCGTCTATAGAAATCTTAGAAAGCTTTATAGCAACAGTAGAACTTTATAAATAGTTGAGTAATATGGAACTTAAAAAAATTAGGGAATGGACTTAGCGCTGCACTGGGATTCCTTAATGTATCAGTATACATTGTACACGAATATAAGTCTTTCTGTGGCACCTATGACTTCTAGTTTTCAAGTGGCATAATGTTTATTACGTATAATAATTTATAATTAAATTTTATAATTTATTATTACATAAAACTATCTGAAAAAAAGCCTAATGTTTATTTTAAATTATATTCATTATCATTATCATTCATTCATTAAGTTATACAATGGCAGGGAATTAATTATGAAATTATTTTATAAAATGTATTTTTTGAAAAAATTTCCGAAACACTCTAGACCAAACACTCTACTTACCTTTACTTTTAGTGTGTAAAATTCTTAAATCGAAACATGACTTTCTCTCGTAGCTACACTACCATTTTTTCTCCAGCGACTGTAGTCCTTCCCAGCCATTTAAATCCAAGAATAAGTAAACCTACAGTACAAACAAAGCCAGAAGTCTTGTCAAATCTTGTCCTCTGCCTCATTCCTTAGATCGTCTTCAGTGGGCTGTTGCCGCAATATCCTTGAGTCTGGCTCCTTTTCTTGCCACGTGCTTGTTGAAAAAAGGCTGAATTATTTACGACTATTTACTCAGACAATTGGCCAACTGTTTTGCGGCTCACGTGAGCCATCAAAGGAATTTCTGACTCTGAAGCTAATTTCTTTAATTTAAAGCTGTTTTTTTGAAAAGGCGGAAAAGTCGGAGCGAAGAGAAAAGGAGTCAAGGGCCTAATCCCTATGCATAATGTATTTGCCGGGCTGAGGAAATGGAAAGCAGAGGAAAGCCAGGAAAAGTCATGGTTGGGAAATCTTACGTTATGTTTACGTTGCCCAGCTGAGTGAGCAACAACAGCAAGTCATATTCATATCTATGGACCGGCCTTTTTATTTATCTTGTATCTTTTTACCTCAGTGGAAAAAGGACAGGGAAGAAATCGAGGGGCGGGGAGGGTGGTGTTAAATCAAAATCAATACCCTGCTAACGAAAATTTCAAACTTGCTTATCATCATCGCGCTGTCTGTTGTTGGCTGGCTGATGGACTCCGGCTTTGTGGGCTTTATCCTTGGCCACTTTGGCGTATACTTGATGTGTCAGCGATTGGCCTCATGGCCGTGCCACATGATTGATTGACGATGATTTATCTTGACATGATAGCCCGTAACTTTGATTTTTAGTCACAGTCAAGCTTGGCTCCTGCTTGTGGGCCGAGAATTATCAATTTAATTCAATTTTTTACCTCCCTTGCGAGGTCAACAGCCTGATTTAAAGAAGGTTTTCCTTCTTCTTTTTCCGTTATTCCTTAAAAATCATTTAAAGTCACGTATAGCCTTTAAGCGAGCTTTCAATTCCTTGGCTAAGTAAACATTTCCGCTTCCCTCTGCCATTTGCTGAACAAACAGAAAGCAAATGGATTTGCTGCAACTCGATTGGTTGCAATGTCCCTTGATTTTTCCAACGATTTTTCCATTATTATTTGACGCTGAATTTCCTTTTCCCCGAGGCTGGGGTGGGCTGACCCCGCCCAAAACTTAAACGGATTGCAACTTTGTGCACTCTGCCTGCGGCATTTGGATCGATTTCTATGGCCCCCGCCTTGGCAAGTCGAAAAATTCGAACGAATCAAAAAGTTTATTTGTCGTATAATTGCCCCGGATTATTGTCACTCTTGTCGCCTTTCGCGCCACGCTTATTTACACTTTTATACCTCGCAAATACGTGTGAATAGCAGCGGCAAAAGCTGTGTGTGGTGGCTCTTTGTTTGCACAACTGATTGCTGGCCATATTGACTACCCGCACCCGCCCAACTGCCGCCCACTCGCCACTTGCCATTGGCCTTTGTTAGCCTGCAGCCAATTATTTGTTGACATTCAGCCGAAGATTGCAATTGACGGATCCCGCAGAGAGCCTCGGAGTTGCTGACCGGAGTGTCCTGAGTCCTGTGTCCTGTGTCCTCTGTCCTGAGTGCCCAGTCCCATCTGTGTCTGCTACATGCCACGCTCCTCATTATTATCATCCTCGGCCCATTGACTCCGGGCCGTGCGGTGTCAGCTCATCAATTGCTAATTGCCCCGGGCGAATCGCTGATGGAGTATTTTCATAGCCAAGCTGAAATTGCACTCACTTAGCTCTGTTCTCTTTCCAGGCCGCCATCATCAAAGAGGGGTTCCTGCTCAAGCACACTTGGTCCTTCCAGCGCTGGCGACGTCGATATTTTCGCCTTAAGCGGAATATGCTATTCTACGCCAAGGATGAGAAGGTGAGTTTTGTAAATAATATACTGGCGAAAATAAAAAAGTGTAGTTCCTTGTTGGATGTATTTTTCGTATATTGGTGGTTTAAATGTAATGCTTTATCAAGTAGGTTTGGCCTTTCTACCAATTGAATTTTCAATCAAAATGTATATTAGGAACAGGATTGTTTAAAGGCCGGATTTATGAAGGAACGTATTTTCTATTAATTACTAATTCAAGGAGATTTTAATATTTCATATTTTTAATAAGGAAGTTAAAGTAAACTAGTTCCTCAAACTTGTATTTTATTTTATAGAACTTTGCGAGGAACTAGGGATCTTCGATGCACCTGAATATTTTAAGACCAATACCTTGTAATGTACAAAAGAAAATTAATTGAATAACAAAAAGAGTTAGGAAATCAGACAATTTAAAACTTGCCACGTAGCGCAAGTAATCCCAACGTTCTAGCTTTTGTAGTTTCCGAGATCTCAGTGTTCATACGGACGGCAGACAGACGGACATGGCTAGATCGACTCGGCTAGTGACCCTGATCAAGAATGTATATACTTTATAGGGTCCGAAATGCTTCCTTCTGGCTGTTACATACTTTTGCACGAATAGAATATACCCTTTTACTCTACGAGTAACGGGTATAATTAAGAGCTTTTAGTGGAGTAGGATAGCCAAAACATCCTTTCAGTTGCCATTTTCCGCTGCAAATGAGTACATCGTCAGTGCTCGATGGCGATTGACGGATTGTTCCCGGCTGCTCTGTGTTAGAATCCATTTTCCATCTGACCCTTCACATTTGTTGCCTGCGGACCCGAGCGGTCCTTGTGTTTTGCACTCTCGAATTGCGTTGCAGCAAATTGCAGGATATAATTACCAAATGAAATTACCGGGCAGCCCGAGGGCAAAACAATGTCGAACGGAGTGGCGGAACTAAAGGTTAACAGGGGGGAAAAGGGGAAAGCAGACAGGTGAGACAGACAATAAATTGGTTTATTGCGTGCAGTGCTCTTTTCATCAATAATGTACGCTTTTAAAATGCCCGCCTTACATGGGGCCACACCACCTAATAGAATCAGTATGTGGGTGAATTTTCGGTGGCAGTATTGGGGCCAAAAGGTTGCGGGCTGATTGCAGTGGCTTTTAGTGACTCAATAAATCGAGCCGCCTCCCCTGTCAATGTCAAATGAACTCGATTGCGGCGTTCCTGCCGTTAATCATATTAACGAAGCTAATTGCCTGGTAAATCAATTATTTATGGCCGGTCTCCGAGTTCAAGTTTCGGGCTTGAATTGGGGCTATCAGGAGCAGAAGTCTGATTACTAAACTGATTACTCAACTCATTTAAACTGAATTCATCTCAGTTTAATACTTAATCCCGGGCTCTTGTGCATTGCACATCATGCGAATGCGATTGACGTCAATCCAGCATCAAAACACGCTTCAAGCATGAAATGCAATTATTTCGTAAACTCTCAAACAGGCAGCAGCCTCTTCAGCGCCCGCCTTTGCCTTATGAAAGAGCTATGGAAATATTACGTATTCGCCGTGTATCGCTTTCATGTTGGCACAATGCGAAGCATTAGAGTGAACACTGGCCTTGTTTGAAGCTGCGATGACGCGTTTCCATTATGCAACAAGTCGAAGGCGTCTCCAGAATCACAGGCAATGCCCTCCCCTTCTGGCTGCCTGGCCCTCTTCCTGGTGACATTAAGTATTCAGCAATGTAATGACAGGTTGCCATGGACTCCCCGGCCGCCCGACTGATTAGCCCCATTAGTGCCTGCGCCTGCCAACCGGCGGCATTTATTTTGATTAAAAATTCTGTTTGATGCCCAATAAATAGACCTTAAGGTGACGCTTTATTAAAAGGTTAATATCGCCGGCGTTCGCATTCCTCGGCTGGCCGAAAAGTGCCTGGGAACTCATTAAGCGTAGGCACGAAATTTCAATTATAATTACGCATACGCCGTGTTGTGCCCAAGTGGCTTAAACGGTGGGCAATTTGTTGCCGTAGTAAAGTCCAATAAAGAAAAGGGAAAGAGGCGGAGAACGGGAAAGCCCAAGAAGAAAGCCAAACTACGCGTGCCAGACAAATACGCGGCCAAACCTAAGTCGGTCCTGAGTTGGGGCACAAAAAGGATAAGCCTTTGGCGGGTTGCTAAAAAAATGGGGCAAGGCATTCAGCGGGATGCGGGGACAGCTAGCTGATGCTGATGCTCATGTTGATGATGGTTGTGCTGCTCGTAAAAGCGCAAATTTTTGTTTGCATTGTTTTCATCGCTGCCTTCTCCTTGGACCGCTCCTTCGGCAGTTATTTCGCTCGCTCTCCTTCTGCCACTCTCACTCGGCCTCGTTCTTTTGGCCCACACTCGCGAAGCTCATTTCGGCCTATTGTGCTTCCTCTTCGCACTGCACGCGACTCGGCCGGAACAACAACTTTGGGGGCCAACTCACCACAGTTGTAAAGTCGTAGTACTCGGCTTTTGGCCATGTGCGCGCTCCCACGCGAAAAGGATGGGGATGCTGGGTTTCAGTGTGTGTGTGTTTTGTTTTGAAACGTGAAAGCTTGCGTTGCTCGTAAGGAGAGGAGTAAAGCTCTGGGTCCAGGGTTGTCACGCTCACTAAAATGAAAATGAAATACTTTTTACGGTTTAAAATAAATTATTCACTAAAAATTATCAATAATTTAAGCTAACAATAAAGTATAATATTTGGAAATATTATATTTCTTTATAAATAAAAAATAAAAAGGGAGGAATGAGATTTACCTATATTTTATATGTTTGTATTCTAACAACTGTGGGTTTTAAGTTTTCGACGGTTTTCAAACAAAAGGTATACTGGACGAAATCGATTATTTTGTTCGGTGTGAAAAAGCTTTGGCACTAGAGCTCCATGCCCCGCAGGACCCCAGCGCACCTGTAAATATTTGTATCCTTTCGGGCGCATGGCAGGCAGATGGAAAGGAGCAGAAAGCGGGCAGCCAGCATGTCTGTGAGTGGTGAGTTTCGGCGGGCGGCCAATAAAAGCGACTGCTCGGCAGGACTTCAGCTCAGTTCAAACTCAACGAAGCAATGTGCCACAACTCAGCAAAAACAGCGAAATCCACAGCAACATCACCACTATCATCAACACCAGAGGAAGCCGAGGAGAGAGCCTACCAGGCCGAATAATTAATTATTTAACCGTCAAGGAACATCGATAAAGTTACGCAAAAAAATAATTTACGATTAGTGTTGAAGGAAAAAACTCAGAAAACAATTAAATATTTATTTTGGTTCGGTCCGCGAGGCGGCGGCGATAAGGAGATGTCCTTAAGCCATTGCCTCAAGTTTTGTGCGTGAGTTCGTAAGATGTGAGCCAAAAAGACAGTAGAACTTTCAGCCGTAAACCAAAGAAGCAACAGTTCCAAAAACCATAAACTAAACGCCCAAGTCGCCGCTAAATCAATATTCTGTGTATTTTTGGGGGTAAGTTCAGCCAGCTTCCGAGCCCATTTCCATTTTATCATCGTTTCAATACCGCTTTGGGGTAAATGATTTGTCCGGGGTTTACCAAAGTTTCCGACGGCTTTCGTTCGCATTAATCCTGGAACAAATACATTTATATGTGGAGATTTGTGAGCCTGCCAAAACTTTTAATTGGCTAATTTAATTAATGCGCGCTAGTTGAGCTCCCCCGGATTGGGGCTTAAGACATTAATTTAAACTTTGGCGGAACAGACGTTGATGTGTGTCCAGATAGACGGGCGCTTTGTCTTCTCCCTGTTCTTGTTTGTATAATTCTGCCCTCAGACAAATATCTAATTGACTCCGAACAGTTAGCACACACACACGCAATCAATTCAATTCAGCCAGGAGCACTGACCTCTGTCGCAGTCTGGCGATGTCTGGTTGCGAACTGCCAACTTCTCGTTAAGCTCTCGTTCCCCAGCAGAATGAGGGGCACTTTCTGGCTAATTACCTAGGCACACAGCCATCCCAGTATGATGACGAGCATATGCGTATTAAATGGCAACAAGAGGCTGCCAAACAATCAGCCAAAGTGACATTTCTACCAAGATAATTGTGTGCATATTTATAAAGGGGCCGAGCGGCGAGTGAGGCGCAAATTAAAAGGGGCCAGGGAACGGGACATGTGTGCCATGATGAAAACGATACAAGAGTAAGCTCTGCCCGATAATGGACTGCAGGACTTACCTGGAGCATATGGTCCTGCCATCCTTTGCACTCGAAAAATGTTCTTTTCGCATTCAGAAATAGTGAAATATTGCTTATAAAAATCCATGATATTTTTGCTATAAACAATGTCGCTATATCGTGTACCAAACGAATAGATATAACTGTATAGATTTAAGCAAATAAAAAAAAATATTACTAACTAGAATGTTCACATAAATGACCAATACATTTAATAGCCATTTGAAAACAAATCGATTTTATGAGGCTAACAAAGTTTTCAAAATATAAAAAACATATTTCTAAAATGTTACTAAACATTAAAGGTTTTTTTGCTATCGACACACAATTTAGTTCTTTTAATAAAAAAGTATTCCTTTTCGAATAATCCTTTTTTTTCCAAGTGTACACCTATATTTACACCAGCTTTGCCTGCGGCAAATGATTGCGTGCCTCGAATGCTATCAGCACTTTTGTCCTGACATGTGCGTGTCCCACACACACAGGCACACCTACACTGAGCATGATGTCCTGCGGCCGTGTGCAAATGTTTATTGTGCTTAGTGTGTTGAAAAATTTACATGATGGCCCGCTCCTGCCCGAGCAACTCATGTAATGTTTGCAGTGGACAATGAGCACATTGCCATTTTGGGTGTCCTTTCGGTATTCAGTATTCAGTGTCCTGCGTCCAGGTGCTTGTGTGTTTGCCGGGGGATTATGTCCTCCCTGCATGTTGGATTGTCTCCCTGTTTGGTATTAGCCAATTTTCTTCCGGGCTCGTGGGCTCATTAAATTGGCAAATCATGTTCGCATTTTATTGTTAGGCAGCATTA